GAACAGGAAACGCGGATGGTCCAGCGGCAGCCTTTACAGGAAACCATTCTGCAACAGCAGCACACCATTTGGGAGCTGTGATGCACTTTACTGGGAGAAGTTAATCAACAGGCAGCTTTCACAACTCATTTCAACACCAAAGCCGGTGCAGTGACCCAAATATTTTTTGATGTATCAAATACATAAGCTGTAGGGTAATGAATTCCATCCTGCCTTTACGCTCTGCACACACTACCCTGACAGTCTGGCCATCTCACAAACAAAAATCAAAAGACTTATTATCCACCTGACATTTGATGTGTCCATTAGGTGGAGTTATGTGATTTGTTTGGAAACCAGGATTAAGAGGCGCCCCTTGGCAACCTCAGCGACTCCTTTGTTCTGCGGACCTTTTACACCTCCTCGGCCAGCCAGCGTGTAAAGCCCCTGAGCCTGTACAGCCGCATTATGCAACAGGTTTACTGTTAGATACCAGGTGATGAATAGAACACAGTATTACTCTTTTTAAGACCATAGACGGGATAAAATGTTTTGATTTTTGCTTTCTGCACAGCATGAGGTCATTTGGTTTAAATGTGCATTTATAGCTGTGGCTCCAAATAACTGTCAAGTGAATTTTAAATCAACTTGTGAAAAAAGAAAATGTTTCTATTAACTGCTATATTATGGGAATCAAATACACAAAGTTAAAAACAAGTGCCCTCTGTACTCTGACCCCAGCCAGTGGAGGCAGATGACCACCTTGCCTATGCCTGGTTCTGCCGCAGGTTTCTTTCTGGTAAAGGGGAGTTTTTCTACCTATGATTTTGTAAGGTCTTTACCTGAAATGGTGAATTGCCTTGAGATGATGTGATGTATGCACTATACAAATAAAAGTGAACCAAACTCAAGAAGTAGAATGAACTGGAAACAAAAGCAGTTGTCTGCCAAACAAACTCAGACGAACCAAACAAAACCAGTCGCCTTTGCTATCCATGAGGAAAATAGGCAGGTCATGTCAGGTGGTCCTGACCAGGTTTTATGCTGTCTGGAGTCTACGGAAGCAGAAACAGCTGAGTATGTTAAATAATCGCCACATCAGAATCTGTTTGCAAAAGGTTCATCCATTTTTTTTATTTTCAAAAAAGTCAAAAACTACCATAAGTGACTCAATAAACTCCACAAACCTTCTCTAATGCAATAATTCAAAATGCACATACAAATATTATTCGTCATTGTTAGGACGTCAATAACTTCCAAGTGTCGTGTTTTGTTCATCTCCACTGCAGTGACACATACTCATAGAGTGCATAGAGAGACGACTCCTGCCACAAAAAACATTCACACAGAACTGTTAGGCTCAGGAGGTCTGAACCGTACCAACGACAACAATAACAAAAAAAAGGCATAAAAACATGTGACTGCCACCAGCCAAGCATGAGGAGGAAGTGATGCACAGCTGTGGACGGCTAACTTGGGTGTGTGCGCTGTCATGTTTCCTGCTCCTCATCCCTCGGCTGAGTCAAAATCACTGATTAGAAAACAACTTAAACGGCGACTACCATCAACAAACTGCTTTCCCTTTCCCCAAACCAGCCACTGCGCATCTGCAACAGGTCGGTTGAATGTCGAGAGCGAGTGTAAAGAATGCTCTCATGAGGAGATTACGTTGCAGCGCTACCCTGTGACCAGCAAACACAAGAACTGTAGGCTGATAACCTCGTCTCACATGCAGATTTTCCCACCAAAATCTGGCCAGTTTAACAGCAACCCCCTTGGGAGGTGCGTAACCCAGACAGAGCCTGTGTGGCAAACTATTAACACACACAGGAAGCAGGCGAGACTGGTAGCCTACACAGGACATACGACCAACAACAAACCACCAGCTTTTTTTTTTTAAACTCCCATTTAAAGCCTGCTGTGAGGGGCCTCTTCCACAGTTGTATTCTGCGACTCCTGTTTTGTTTTGAGGCCAGTGGAGCGCATTAATGGACTTATGAAAAACTTCTACTTGGCGGATCTGTTTTGGTTTATCGCTACATCACCAGAGATAAAAGTTAATCTTTTTCTCAGCTGAGCTCCCGTTGCCTTTTAGCTAAACTGCTCTGCGTCACAACCGTCCACAAAAACCCAGTCATCCACCTGTAGGGTCGGAAAGAACACTGAATATTTTATGCTCTGTTAGCTGATTTTATTTATGTTTTCTCCCCCATTCAGCCTCATTGCTGTCATCATCCTGAACCACAAAAGCATGAAACACGCTGCTCTCGCCTTCATGGTGATTCCTCGGGTGATTTCTATGGCAGCAGAGCTCAAATTAGACAGAAAGGATAGCCTCGAGAAAAGCGTCCGTTAAGGTGAGAACATCCAGCAGCAGTCACAAGGTCAGAGACCACAACAGCATTAAACAGATTTGTCTTTGTGTCTATTTATACACAGCTATGGAGGCTGACTTAGCACTTCAGTGGTAGACGAGTCGCTCGCAGGTCTGAAATGACTAAGTGGCAGCGCTGCACAGAGGGAAACGGCAAGGGACAGAGATCGATATGCAAATGGAAATTTACACACCGCTCATAACTCTCATGTCAGCTTTCACCCAGCATACATGCACAGACACAAAAGCTGAATTATTGACATTTATGTAAGCACAGAGAAACAGTCGGAGCCGAGCATAGAGCCTTCAATCTGGAACAAATGTAGCACTTTGTATGAAATCAGCAAAGAAGGGAAAGCACCATCCAGGTGAAGTGAAACTGCACGTATGTCTGCGTTTGAATGAAACTTTGAGTGTGTGTGGGGATTCAAATGAGAGAAATGTTGGAGTCGACTTACCCTTATAGCCTGTTTGCATCAGACTAAGCTTATTTTGTAAATGAATGCAGCTGTATTAAGATGCAAAGGCCAGGCCGGGAGCGATTTAACGACAGCCACTTAGTAGGGAGTTACATTACATGCATGTGGTCATGTCTGGCTTGACTGCAATGCAGATCCATTCGACTTAAGTGTGTGTGTGCATATCCAATCCATTCCTCAGGCGGTCTAGTCTGAATGAGGGATTGTAGGTCATGTCACTGCTTATATGGGCATTGTTTAGGGAAGCCAGTGCAGACATTCAGGAAATGGATGCTGGCGACTCAAGGCAGTGTGTTGTCGGCCCTCATGACAACCTCGCTGCCCTCCAAATGCATATTCACACGCAGAAAACCAAGAGTCCTGAGCTGCGTGCCTCAGGGCGGCCCAACATGGGAGCAATTAAACACCACCCTCTCTTATCGGCGGACGACTTTCTCTGGGAAAAAAGAAGCTTGGGGGGGTCGTAAAGAAAAACGCCGCTTGGACGGCAGGAAGTCATCTTTCTCTGTGTGTTTATTTGCGTGCTTCCCATGTGTGAGCACGAGCACAGATCACACATGACGGAAAGGAACGGTGCTAGTCGGCCCACCGGAGCAGGCGTGTAATTACACAAACTCTGATTGCAAGTTCATGCTAATAAACCAGATTTAAATGTTGAGATTATAAAGCTCCATGTGTACATTTGACCTTCCTTTGTGAGTTTGATGGGTGACAGCAACGGAAATGTGCTCATGAGAAAAAAAAAGTCATCAGAAAGCTGCAGAGTGTCACCTTCACTCATTCATTCCATCAACAAGCCTCTCACTCCAGGCTTGAGTCAATAACTTCAGCCGAGCAGCAGCCACCAGCTGTCTGTATAGCTTCTCTTTTCACCTTTTTCTTTTTTTTATGTCAGCACCACCTACTCCACTTCCTGTTACAGTTGTCGCTGTGAACAAGCACAAAGGCGATTCACTCAGCAGCTGACTGAAACCTCCCCTGGGGGAATGGGGCCATTGGCTGTAAGGTTCATCTTAAAAGGCAGCTCTACAGGCCAACCCCCGTCCTCAACCCCCACTGAGTTCGATCACTGGGGCCCAAACCGGGGTGTGAGGACCTCAAATGGGTCTTTAATGGAGAAGAGAATCGAGTTTCATCACATTGTAGCTGGTTTACATTTGCACAATGAGAGAGGAGGGTGGGATGAAGCCTATTTTAATGTAAGTTTTTCCCTTTGTGTTAACTCTCTAACAGCACACATCCTCATCATGATACAACCTAGTGTGGCTCACTGGCTGGAGCGTGTGAGGATCTGAGTTAAGCAGACTGACCACCGCCTCTGCTCCCCACACTGTAAAATGAGCATGATTACAGACGCCGCCACAATCACACTCCACTCATGCCTTCCGATTCGAGAGGCTGCCACCCAGCAAGCGCCAGCACATGCACACCTATGTGATCTATTTCAATTTTCCCTTTTTTCCCAACCTCTGATCTGCACACACATCTGAGGACCCACCAGTGTCTCCTCACACCATTTAAAAAAGCGGCCCGAGCTATTGGGTGCATTTCCAACAAAGGCAGTGAATGACACAGCTCTGAAGGAGAGCATCTCTTTGTGCTCGATTCATTTGCACAGGGAGGATTTTTCTTAATAAAGAAAAGACCTCTCTTTGCTTTCAAAACCTGGTCATGGAGCCAACTCAGCCGTGCACATGTGAGGTGTGCACTGTAAAGGATGAGGTGAGAATGCAGGTAGTTGCCTGTAAGAATAATTATAGAAAAATTGGTTTGGAGAGAAACGCCCATTCTCCTCCCTGCACCTGGCTGCAGCTGTCCTTCACCCAATGTGAAATCCTGCATGCAAGATTCACGCAAAACACACTACTGCTGTGGAGAACTTATGTCCCACAACATGCAAACAGTCATATGGAGATAGCGTGGCACAGACACATGCTTTTCCTTATCAATAGTGTGAAGAGCACCACCCATGTATTACAAAACAAGGTGGACCAGTGTTCTCTGCAGCCCACTGCATCCTCCAACGAGCAGACACATGAGGGAGTGTTAATGCTAAAAAATTAGGCTGTGGGTGTGCAGGATGCATTTAATTGATCGCCAGGAGGCACAGACACAATGTGCTCTGCTAAGGTCGGCAGATTTCCAGCAGACAGACGTCGGAGGCTTACCTCAACGCAACCTTCACGCAGCAGTCGCCCTGGCTCGCCATGGTCGCTTTCAATGTCCCCCCCAGACGGGATGTGGAGTATTTCGGCTCTGTTGGGGGTTTTTTTTTCCGTGTGTGTGTGTATGTGTGTGTGAACCGCTGCGCTGCTGCTGCTGCGGCGGAGCTGGAGTGTCTCAGGTCAGCGGGAGCAGCCGTCAAGACCTGCCGGCGGTGAGCTGCCTCCTCGGGACTCCTCCTGTCTGCTGCTGCTGCTCCGCTGTGGCGCTCATTTCTGGCTCAGGAGCGTTTGTCATATCGCACAATTCAATCCGCCTTTTTTTTCTCTTTGCTTTTTCTTCTCTCTGTGGTCTGTCTCTGTCGCTACATCCTGTTTAAAGTGCGTATGAGCGAAGCATTTGAGCGCCTCTCTGCAGCCACACCGCCTCTCTGAGCGATCACGCTGAATGAGCCCGTAAACCGGAGGGGGCGGTGATGCGTTCAGGGGCTGTGGGAAATGTTGGATTCAGTTCCCTCTTGCACCAGAGCAGGGCCGTGTAGGATCATTTTTTATCAGAAGTTATTTTAAAAAGTGAATAAATGAGACACACACAACACCACTAAGATATCTTCCTAAACTTACTATGCATATTAACTACATCCATGTTGACTTTGTACAGACTACACTCTTCAGTGTGTCTATATTGTACATGTCTTGCGTCAGATAGCCACTGTTCATACTGTCATTTAACTCTATCTTTGTCTTTACTTTTATCTATCTTTATATTGGTATTTATCTAGTACATTAATGCAATATATTTTTGTATAATTCTACCAGTATTGTACTTTTCTCCCACAATATGACTAAATACTCTAAAATCTTACGTATTTCTAGAGCAAAAAACAAGAATCACTATTACCAGCAGGGTAATGTAAAAACTGACTCATGTCTGTTAACTTGCAAAACTTTTTTTCTTTTGAAATCTTTTTGTCCTTCTTTAAAAAATGATGCACTTGTCAGTGTTTCTGTAATGCACCAAAACATTGACAAATTAGTCTTATGTGAAAACCTACTGGGAAAAAACTCCAAGTTCTAATACTGAACAAAACTTTTTCACGCAGCAGTTCACCAAGCACGATGGAGTCACAGCTTGGTTTAGGCAGCTAAGATTATTGTAGATAACTTTACATTTACCCTGAGATAGGTCACTTTAACTTTTTTTTTTCTTTCAAGTTAACATATTCTTTCTTGCTGCTTCTCAATAAATGTTCAGATCCATAAAAATATGGCTTGCCTCATCCTTTACCCTTTATTGTTTTAGGTGTTCAGTGGTTGATGTTAGCATGTTAAACAGAGTTAGCAGATCTCTATTCTGGAACATGAACATTAAAGACACATCAAAGTAAACAGGAACCTTCCGGGAACATTTTTAATGCTACAGCTGATTCTTTCACATACTGTTGTGTATATTAAACTGGAAAAATACGCCTTATTTCATAGGCATTTCAGCATTTGCATGTCAAATATTCATCATTAAAGTAAATAGTAACTACAGACTGGAAACAGAAGTCAAGTCAGCTGTAGCAGAGTTATCAAAAGTACCATATAGATATATAATAATATATAGTAGAGTACAACCAACAATTTAAAGTCATGCATCATACTTAAAAACAATATTGATATTGATGATTCAGTTTAATAGATTATAATTAACTATGATGTAAGAGCAACGATGAACATAAACACTTTTGTGATCCCTGTTGAGAAATTCACCAGTTATCCAGCAGATACACCTGAATTGTATAAAGTAGTTAAACTACCTTTACCAGCTGCAGCATTAAAGTGATGAAGACCGTATTGAATAAACAATTACAATGTGTAATTTCTTGTAAAATACAAGTACTTGTATACTGTACCTAATTATAATACTTAAGCAAATGTACGTCTTACATTGCACAGGTGCGCGAGTAACTGGACTTTGTAGGTTTTTTAAATAACCCGACAAACATTGAACGCAGCATAATCGCATTTGATTGACATGCAACTGGGCTAACTGCTGAATTGGCCCCGCCTTCTTTGAAAACTACAGACCAATCAGCGGGCTGAGTAGGTCATCGGAGCCCCGCCCAGCGACACACCCACAGCAGGCTGTAAAGATTACAAACCTTCAGACATCCATGTCTGCTGCACATTTCACTGCTGCAGGCGACATCTGAAGTCCGTTAAACGGCCATAAACAGAGGAAGTCTGTTCCCATGACGGGGAGGAGGAGCCAGCAGTGTGAACACCTTGAGGTGAAAGGTCGAAACTCATTCAGAGGTCGTCATGTTCAAACTAAACAGTGGAGTCAGTTTGCTGTGAGCTGGATGGGAAGTTACACCCTGCCCTGCTCTGTTCCCTCTGCCCAGTCACATTTCTGCAAAAGGGGAAACTGAAATCCTTTCTCTTGGTTGAGTCAGACAAACACGCTGCTCTTACTCTCCCTTTACATATACTGAGCAGAAATATAAACAAAACAACGACTATTTTGTCATTCTATCCATTATTTCTAACATAGGGGAATAAGTAATATATTTTGTACCAACAATATAACAGCATCTCTTCAACAGAACAGTCTGCATGGAACAGCTGAGTGTACACTACACTGGAAATGATAATAGGCAGATGGACGAGTAGGGTCATAAACCAGAATTTACAAGTCAATGTGTCCATTATTTTCATCTGTGGTGCACAGAGTTAATGATTTTATTGACGCTGGCTTGATGAATGTGGTCCCACACATTATGAAGGGCTTGGCTTGAAGTGGACATTTCTGGAGACATGATCACGACATCCAGAGCGTCATGTGGCAGATTGTCCTATCATGCTGTCTGAAACTATTTCTTAGACCACAAATGGTGGAGTTGTGAAATGGTGGTCTAGCTACGGACTTAACATAAATGCCAGCAGGCCAACAGCCTGTTCTTTTTTATCTGTGGCATCATGTCATTTGAATAAAGTTTCATTTTTAGCCAGCCTGTTATAGTGACTAGTCACTACAGTGGGTGTGTCCTGGTCACACTAGCCAATCATTGTCCTTTAATGCCACACCTGACCAGGCTGTGGATTAACTCAATGGTCAAGAATTGATCAGTGTGTCTGTTTCCACCCTCAGTGCATTTTTTTCTTGGTTATAATGCTGTTTCTGGGCTTCTTGTTGACTCCTTTGTTGACTCTCCTTGGCATCCACACTGATGGAGAAAACTCCTTACCAACTCCTCGTCCTCCTCATTGTCAGTCGCTCTTGTTTCCAAGTGACTGGATCAAAATGCACCATTAACATTCACGTCCGCGCTGCAGCCAGTTATTTCCCAATATAACACAAACACACTGCATTTCTTTACTTTCTCAGTGGCCTCGTAGTTTAATTATATTAGATTGTGCTGAAAGGAGATGCCACTACTGTCTGATGACTGATCATAATCCACAGTTTTCTCTATGAATGCAGAATGAAAGTCCCTGCGCAGCTACAGATGACAATCAATTTTATGTTACGAAACACTCCACAAATAGTTGCATGAACCCATTCTGTGTGTGCAAAGGGGAGCTTATGACTCCAATCGTGTGTGTGTGTGTGTTGGTGTGCCGAGGGCCAGGTGGCGATGTTAGTGCTGCGCTAGGCTTCGTTCCCGGGGAGCAGTGCTGGATTCCACACAAGATTAACATCCAGTTATGAGGATAAAGCTACAATCCTCCTAGATCTGCTGGGAAGCGGCCACCGCAACTGGGACAACAGGACACACAAACAAGGGCGACACACACAAACACACACTAGTTTTGTCGGGGGAACTTTTAAGACCAACTCGTAGGAACTGTTACATAATTAGGCTGCACTCTTTTCCTAAGCATATGTTAAAGCCCTTTCATGCTTCTTCGGGCATGTTTACAGTTTTCAGATCTACTCTGGATGATTTATTTTCCCCGCATGCCACCTCTTTGGCACTTTATAGTGTAAAAAAGCACATTTCATAACCACACTGTGTGGGTTTTAAAGCCCTGAAGATATTTTAATATTGCAATTGCCAAACTGCAGCATAATCCCTATATTTAGGGATACATACAGTCAAAATAACAGCACTCTAATTGCGTAACAGGCATTAAAATACAATCATTGCCATCCACCCTCAGGTTCTGTCAGTCACGGTGAAGTCAGCAAATTATTCTCTAGCTTGGAACTGACACTTTGCTTCTTCCACACACATACATTCACACACACATTATTCTCATTTCTGGAGCTTATGATAATATCCTGCCCTGAAAAGAAGATGAAGATGACTCACAACTTTAATGAGCCGCAATGTTTTGCTGGTTGCTATTTTTCAGTGATTTATCTATAATTTTTGAATTTAGACTTAATTTTTTGTCACATTAGTGGAAAATAGTGGAAAAGGCACTGACAAGGCACAAAAACACAATCTCCAATCATGCCATATGTACAGTGTGTTCTTTGGAACCTGATTAATCGGTCTTGTGTATTGGATAAAGCCAAAACTAAGATGCATGTAATGCCGATGAAGGCCAAAGTCCTATTTAACTGCTCCAGTTTGAGCGTCACATCGCCTCCTTCAATGAAAGAGACTAAAAAGCAAGAGAGACAGACGGAGAGATGGAAGATGAAGCTGCACCCAAATGTATTCTCCATCCTTATTCTTATACTTTGATGTGTCTGTAATCCCTCACATGCGTTTTCTATATTTGGCTTTGAAGCTCCATAAGCTAATCCTCCATTCTTTACCGTAACAAAACTGCTTGAATTGGCCAGGATTACGCAAACACACATTTGACGACTCACTGGCTGGCAGAGAAAGAGGTGCGCAGCCAAAACAGAAAGTCAGGCAGCTGAATTGCTGTTTCAAATGTAGTTCTTAGCTTCCCTCCTTGTGCTTCACAGTTTGAGGAGTTTTGTATGTTTTCTTGGAGGTTTGATGGTGTCTATGTAGTATGTATGTGTGTGTGTGTGACAGAGGAGCTACATACTTGTTTTAGATTTATGTATGTCAGGTGCAGTGGAAAACAGCAGAGCAGGCCTTTGCCAGTTCTTGGCAGCACTGGACCCCCTGCAGCGTTTTGTCCCATCATTCTGCAGAGCTCAACTTTCACTTCTGACAGTGGAAGTAATGAAAGAACAGTGCAAGCTGAAGTGTATTAAAAATACAAATTTTTATTCAAAAGGTTGACGACGTGATGGTAGTTCATGCGCAGTGATGCTCGAAGGGATACAGTATTTAAAAGAAGATTTAGAAAATACCTTAGTTTTCTTGCTGATGGTTAGATGAGAAGCTAATGCTCTCATGTCTGTAAGGTCATGTCATGGTTTATGCTATGCTAAACTGATATATGTACCCTTTGTGTTTTGTTGGACAGAGTGTAGAGAGATGAGAGAGAGAGGGTGGTGTATAGGGCTGAACA